CTGATGAACCTTTTCTTCATCCCGTTTTTTATCCCACAAGGTCTGTAGAGCACATTTACACTTTCCACAATGGCATAGAAAAGGTTTATACTACCTTGTTGTTTGCACGTAGATAGAGCAATTTTTAATTCTTGAATCCTAGGGCCATTCACGGTAGTATATCGTTCCTTAAGTCCCAACCATAGATCTGGGCAGAATCGGGTGTAGTGATAGAAGAGCGTACCTGTGGATCAATACTATTCATGATCCAAGAAAGAAGAAGAGAATTGTTAGCCAGCCAGTCTTCAAGAAGGTCATCGTCGGAGTCAGGACGAGGGATGGATCCGTCAAGGAATCCAAATTTCTTCCGTGCACGCAGCGCATTTCGAAAGCTTCGACACCATTCATCATAATTTGTATCACCCTTCAATTGAACATGGGTGATGAGAAGACTCGGGTTATCCGAAAAGGAAAGATTGTATGGAGAGATGGTCTTTCGAGCCACGGTACTTCAACTGGAGTCTTTGGTACTTTCATTTGAGTCTGCCATTGAAGAGCCGCCGAGAAAAGAAGAGCCGCCGAGAGGAGAAAAAAATCTGAAGAGAAGAAGAGCCGCCGAGAAAAGAAAAAAATCTGTCGGAATTTTTTTTTTTTTAAGGACCCGCTCTCTGATACCATGTCAAGACCGTGAAATATTTGGAAGATATGAAAAGATGGCACACCCCATTATGGTGTCCTCATATTATTATCTCATATATATACAACAAGACCTAGTGTATTTACAAGGAATTACTTGCCAAGCAAGATACCTAATACTAGGAAAATATACTATCAAAAATACAATCCTAAATATACCTAACAGCATTCAAAAATCTATTTGAGAAGTATTTATTACTCTTTTTGAAAATAATGTAGATCATGAATTAGTAACTATTGAGATCTACAGTGCATTGATATTATAAGTTATTGTACGCTGAAATGGAAGTGATATATCAACTACGAATCAACTAGTGTTCAAAATGACTAGTACGAATCTCGTGCGATGCACGGGTAAGATATTTTCATTAATATTGGTAAATTAGAAATGTTCA